GGAAACAACACATACAGGCTTCCAAAGCATCCATTTTTTTTTGCCATATATCAGGATTATTCTGTACTGGGAAGACATTATTTCCTTCAGGTTCCTGAATACCTTACCTTCTTGGTAGCAATATTCTTCAYGGGGTCTGTCACTGTGGCAGTAAAGGCAACTCAGCATGGGATGGGCCATCTGTAAATACCACAGGAGAAAAAGAGAGACATACCTGCCTCTATTTTGAGAAACTGGGTTTATAAACACGGCAACAGCTTTGGTAAATGCCAACTTGCACTTAACCATTCTCTTCAGGAGGGCTTGGGAGACATTGGGAAGTAGCACACTTGACAAGGCTGAAGCCCCAGTGAATGCAAAGCAGCCATCAACTGCTACTGGTGGGACTCCCACTGCCATAGGTGACCCCATCACTTAAAGAGGAGGAGGATTAATAAGAACAAGGATCAGGATTGATCTCAGACTCAGCTGTGGACCATTTCCTGGCAACCAGCAGGATTTCTCAGTATCTCTGCATAAAGATGGGGGAGCCCTAATGCACTTGGCCTTCCCTGGACGTATTTAGTAACTTTTTAAAGCAGGCTTGAATAGTTGTCAAACTGGGATAGGCTATTGACAGTCCTGAGGTAAAGGGAGAAGCAAGCCCATTAGGCTCATGGATGGTGTAGATGCCAGCTATGTACTTGTCCCCAGACTAACTATACCTCCCCATTTCTAGAAACACTTGTCAGAAAGCCTTAGAGCTTAAAAGCCCTTGTCTTAGCTCAGGGATCTTCTGGGTGCAATAATGAAAACATTGGCAATGGTTCCAAACAAACACATGCACCCTCTCTGTACAAGGAAGGAGCACCAGYTTCTTGTTTTGGCCCAGATCTGTAGCCCTGGAAAGCTCGTCTGTTTCGGTTTTCCAGGCAAGGTTTCAGAGGTCACACAATATATTTGGCAGGGTTCTTTTACGCTTACATATGAGCTGACATAAAGAGTACTGCATTGACCATGGAAACTGAGGCAGAGTAGAGGAATATTCTTAATTTCAGGCTTTATATCTAGCTAACTCCAATTTCKCTTGTTTTAGCACTTCCACTGGTAAAACTGAGTCTTAAACAGGTCTGCCATGCCCTCTCACCAGCTTCTGAACCTCAGACAGAACAGACGGGAACATATTTTATCATACTAAAACAAAAACGAACAAACAAGCAAACAAAATCCCGCTTTTATAGGCCATATTTTTATGGCCAAGCATCCACAGCGGAGTTTGGGGCAAAATTCCCTCTAAACACTATGACTTCTCATCGGAGGATTAGCAACAGCAGGACCATTGCTAGGCATTGCACCACTGTAACTTTTTGCAGCGTGTATTTTATAGATATTTTATAGATAAATCAAACCTCCACATCTACCTGTGTTCTTGTGTCTGGTAGACAATAGYCCTGAATGTTTCGGTCATCAGCCTTTTGTGAGCCTTAAGCAAAAGCCAGGAAGAAAAATTGAGTTCCTCAAGCCAAGGAGAAAATAACCTCAGCACAAGGTAATTTGCCACTGCTCTGCTGCAGGACAGAAGAAGAATGAAATACTGTCAGGAAAACAGTTTTTACTGGTAATAGAAAGCTGTGAGGACTACAGTCTTACACATAACCAACAATATTAGAGCAGAGGAGGGTCAGTGTTCATTCCAGTTCATTTCCAGTTCATTCAATGGACAACGTATTTATGAGATAGCTCCTGCCCTGGGCAGTCTGGGGAGAATAATCGAAAAAAGGCTCAGTGCTCTTATGGACACATGACCGGAAAGAAAAACAGAGAGGGAAAAAAAGGCACCAGGGAAAAAATGACATACATGGACCTGCTTTTTTTTGCCCTACGGACACTGTGACTCAGCTGAATTGGGATCCTGCAGAGTGCAGCCACGTAACCCCTTTCATACCCCTTCACGTGACAAGGTGACTCTGAGGTAAGTCAAGGTTCTTGTCCTCTGTGCATGACAGCAACTTGCTTGAAAAGTCCCACCAGAGAGGGTGACTTCTTTTTAGTTTAAACCAATTCTATGGTTTGTGTCTACAGATCCTGCTATGAGAGAAGATTCAGTCTTTCAGGTACTTCTGCGAGAGATGCACCTTTTTCCTCTTTGATCTTCTCTTACCCTGCTCCCTTTCCTTTTACTCAGGTGATGGGAGAGCAATCTTGCCAGCTCAAATCGAATCCTGGAGAAGATGCCAGTGTTATGAGTGTAACGGATTATGTGCTCTTCTTTTCATGGTGTTAAATTTGAATATATAGCTACATCTATCTATCTATCTATCTATCTATCTATCTATCTATCTATCTATCTATCTATCTGTCTATCTACCTATCCGTATATATGTACATCTATATAGCTATAAGCACAACAGACAATTTACAGAACTATTTACCTTCTGCATTAGCACTGGATGAACATTCCCTAATTCTAAAAAAAAAAAAAAAAGGAGAGCTAATGCTCCTGGGTGTTGGGTTTATCCATCTGATTTTACCGGACTTTGCAAGGTTGATTTCCTCTCTGAATTACCACATCTTCTGTGTGTTTGCATTCTGGCTCCAAGAGCAAGAGACATTACACTGTAAGTAAGTACTTGCACTATTAACCTTAGTGGGACATGCTACCTAACCCTACTTTAGCCTATACTGTATTTCATAGCAGCATAGTCCATGTGGGCTTCTTCTGTCCCATGAGGAGCAGACAGAGCCCTCTACCATCAGCCTGCTGGATATTGGGTCACAACTTGCACCTGGGTTTGTCAGAATAGTCTGCCTAGGAAATGCACAGGTACACAACCCTAACCTTGTGGCTGGCACCACAGATTCTTCCTGAACGTAAAGCTGCTTGCATGTTTATGTTCTCCAGGGGCTTGTCATTGCCCATCCTTCACAAGAAAGGCAGAGTGACCTCAGCTGGCTGAAATMATTTTTTTTTTCTGGCCTACTTAATACCTCCAGAAGGGAGCATCTGAAGAAAGTATAAAGGAGTATTGCCAGGTTCTCTTGCAGCCCTTTGAAGACTGAAGGAAGGTGAAGTGTGGAAGCATTGGCACTGAGTTCCTTTATCTCACATGTAGGCATGCAAAGCCTCACCCTTTGTTCTTGTCCCATCCAGGACCTTACAGACAACTGCTGAATCCTASTGAGGTAAGGGTCTGAGCAAAGAATCCTGTTGCCCCTGAGACCACTGGCATAGGATTTTACCTCTGTCAAGCATGAAACACTTCTGGATCATCCTCTGCCACCCTCCTTGTGTTCGGCAACTAAATTCACRTGAGGTATCGCAGCTCCATCCTTCTTTTAAACACAGCCTGTGGCAGGTTCACTGACTGCTTGAAGAACTGCTGCTGTTTCTTATCACCATATCCACATTAAGTCCATCATTGCAGCGTATGAATCCATYATCGGGGTAGTGCAGCCTTGAGACAAGGCATTTGCCCTCATTCTTGCCCGAGTTCTTACCTCATTTCTGAAGAACTCACTCGTGAACAACAATGTGACATTGTAATTCTCTGTCCCACTTCAACACATGCAGTTTAAGAAGAGGTTAACTCTATATTTTTGTGCAGTAGGCACTTTACAATGTGCATGCTATGTTCAAAGATGTGAAAAAAAAAATCCTCTTTATCAAGCAGCAGGAGTTCAGTAAAACTAAGTTTGCTGAAAATAGAGCACAGGCTGGTTTTATTTTGAGGACATAAAAACAGAAGGAGAGAAAAATAAAACATGGTATTATTTCCAGCTATTGTATAGGAAATGCTAATAGTGCAACATGTACATAAAACCAGAGAGAAAATTTAAAAAAAAAAAAAAAAAAG